CTATTGGAGATGTGAACACAAATCCAAACACACACCTTTGACCCAGGTTATCATCTGCCAGCAGCCTTGACACACAAACTCAATACATTTATTTGTTTATGCTTCTGAGCACAACAGGAGGCATCAGGAATATTATATAGGTGGAAAAAAAAGAGAATGAGATTCAAAAATGTTTGTCCCTGTCATACGGTTGTAACCCACCTATACTCACTGTATAAGGTAAGGGCGCTGAGTTCAATTAACTCACAGTAACTATAACTGATGACTTAAGCCTGTAATAAACCTCTCTACATTATGTGTCCTTAGATCCTACGAGTACTGTATACAATAACCAAACACAACTTAGGGTTAAAGTTTCCTAATTTATTCAACAAAAAAATAAGGGTAAACCATAAACAATAACAATCCCCTTTAAATATCTCTGACCCTTTTCCCTGTAAGACACACATATTGTGTAAATACAATAAATATTTCAAATAAACACAAATATAGTGGGCCCACACACCACACACACTCACTCTCCACCTTGAACCTTCAAAACAACACAAAATAAATCACCATGAAGCTTTTAAACATATTTATCTTATGAAAATTTATGGTAACCATTTCTCAAAAGCAAATGACCTTTCTAATTATGTTTAACTATAATGCATAGTACTTTTTTTTACCCAGGTTACACAGCCAACAAATAATTCATGTAAGAGAAGACGCTTGATCCCCAGGAGGAAATTCACACTTCACAGCAACACAGACATACACTGAGATGTAAGAATACGGTGGGAAGGAAATATGAAATTAAAAAGACAGTGTTAAAGCTATCACAATATATCCATATCAAACATTTAGACTGTCTGTGCAAAAAAGAAAGCCACTAGTGCACCTGTGGCAGCCATGATGTGTCAACTAATGGCAGGGTTACGTGTGATAGTACACGTCGCCTCTTTTCAATTCATAATAACTAGCTAACTTTGTCATTCAAATCTGTTCCAACAGGGACAAACTGAACGAAATTATGTTGCACATTTAGGCATTTAACAAAAGGTGTGTGTCTGCTTTAAAACACTAATAGCAATATACAAGCAATATCAATAAAAATAAAGTATAGCACATAAAAAACGCTCATGTATAAATAAGGGCCTAGAATAAAGGGGTTTTTTTGTAAATCCTGGGGATATATACATTCATATGCACATGTTTATTTAGGAAATCACAATGAGTTGAGCAATACTTGCGTCACCTCTCACGGTAGTTTTAAAACAAGACTATAACCACACCAGAGATTTTTTTTAAATTTATTAACCTTCAACGACACTTCTAGCAGGTCACTTTGGGTTCAGAGATATTGCAGGCAATTCTGCAAAGATTTCAGCGGTGTTCAGGTCAGGGGACTGTGACGGCTGCTGTGCCTTCATGGTGAAAGTCCAGATCCGTTTTGGATTATCGCCTTGTTTTACAAGCCAGCCCCTTTTTACTTTCACTGTTATAACCAGGTAAAAAACCCATTGAGATCACGATCTCTTTTACAAGGGTGACCTGGCCAAGAGGTCAACAATACATGTCATCAATACATAAGTTTCAATACAAATCAAAAACATTAAACATTTAAACAATTAAAACCATAAATACAATAATCAACAATACAACCAATTTAAAAACACCTACACTGACCAATAGAGTCCTGTTGCTTAAGAGCCATAAGAAAATAAAAAGCTTTAACTGAGCATAATTCAGTAAGTTTAAAATCTGCTTGGAAACTATTCCACGAAGAGGGAGCGGAAAATCCAAAAGCCCATTTCCCTTTTTCGGTCCGAATTCTTGGCACCATGAGCTGATACTTATCACAAGACCATAAGGCATATTTGGTATCTGATCTATGTAAAAGAGAGCATTAGTATGCCGGAGCTAGGCCTACCAAAGCCTTGAACACTAGCACCATCCAATGAACATGTCTTCGCATGTTCAGAGACGACCACTGTGCTTTAACATACAGGTCGCAATGGTGCGTTAGTCGACTACAACCCGTCACAAACCTCAAGGCACTGTGGTAAACCACATTTAAAGAAGGGAGACATCTAGCTGAGGCATTCATATACAGTACATCACCATAATCCAACAGGGGAAGAAAGGTCGCTGATATTAAATATTTGCGTGC